TATATATATATCCCCTTTCATATGATTGTCATCTGTCAAGCTCAACCCAAAAGACAAATCACAAAATAACTGCTGGAATGTGCAGACCGATGATGTGCACCAGTTGTCAGATCATACAGGGGAAGACATTTACAACCTCAGCAATGTTTTCATTGTTTACAACGTCACCACCAAGATTAGGGTTAGCATCTTATTCAGTTCTGCAAAAGGAAAATGTGTCTCATATCAGCTGTCCACTGGATATTCAGCAGAGCTTGCTGCTCGATGAGATTCAACTGTAACACATCAGCCTGTATCAACAATGGCTTCACATTTTATATAAACCATCTTTTTAAGTGGAGCTGATTTTAAAAAGGACCCTCAGCTGCTGTTATCAAAGAGCATTGATGAATAAATGTAATGGAAGCAGAATATTTTACAGCTGAAGAGTAAAAATGATTTTTCTTAACGGACTTCACACCGCCATCTGCTCCACTATGATAGGTTGCTCTGCCAACTTAGGTGCTGCGAAGTATTGTAAACAGTGGAGTCCACGGGACAAACTATGATAACACTGTTTCGAAATTATCTCAAGTGCTTTTAACTGCATTATCTACTTTAGGTTTTCTATGAATATCAGCCAATATATACACCAATACAAGTCCACTACCACCGGATTCTGTCATTTACAGGTAAATGTTGAATCTGTTCAATCTGAGTAAAGGGTTCAGACTGATTGTTATACTGAATGAGAGCATGTGGAAGCACACTGCAATGTTGAAAATAACTCTTGCATGCTTGGCTATGCTTTTATATTCACATAAACTGTGGGTTGCATCTCTGCCAAAGGTTATCCTCTTGGAATTCTCACAATCACCACGTCCAAAAATTTCTGATCTATTATCAGGGACCTTTAGCAGCAACTTCCTCTGGCAGCAGAAGACAGTTGCCTCATGCAGTGTGAGCAGCCCGAAGGCAAAGAGACATCTAAATAAAAGGGGAGTTTTCCTTTTTACATGCTGTACATTGATAGAGGCTGGGGTGAGAAGTGCTGAGAGAGGTGTCATCTCTAACCACTTCCCCCGACATGTGTTTCCAACTGAGTGGGCACACCCTTTCATGACACTTCTCATTCTGATCACACAGTTTCACATTAACGGGTATAAAAAGAAGTTGCATGCAGGATGACATGACTATTCAAGCATTAATTCTGAGAAAAAGGAAACTGCATATCTGCCACAAATCCCTATGTGTGCATTTATAGCTAAGTAACAAGCTAGGAAACTGTCATTTGCCCTCTCTGTAGAGTGGTCAAGGGGTTACAGAACTGATTTAATGTCTTGCTCAAGGACACAAGCTCTTGCTGACTCAGTGGACCCTGCAGCTGAAAAACTGCCTCTATGCAACCGTCTGCTCTGTGCAGAAGCTTTGATGCACTGTAGCATGAAGGTGACCACCGAGAGAGCATAAGATAAAAGGCAGTTGACCTCTGATTCACAGGAGCTGGTCTCTCTCTGCTTTTGTGTTTAAAGGTGGGGTTTGCTATGCAACGTCTGGCACTATCATGGTTGACAACTGTCACTGTGACATACTAAAACACTCTGCTACAAACACCCACCTCTGGAAAGGTAAATTAAAAGCCAATTAGTCTCCTGTGTGCCATAAAGGAGATAAATAGGGAGCCATTAGCTGTTTTAATCTGTGTGATAATTAGCACAGTGAACGGTACACACCACTCAGCAACATGTTTGACATGGTGGAGTCTCCGTGTTGTACTAACTACATCATACCGCCTCTGTAAAACTGGGACTACTGACAGTTTTCTTTATGAATTTATCTATATTCTTAAATCACTGATTGATTTTGCATGACCTAAAAAAACAATGACACGTTCTCATCACTTCATTTCCAAACCATACACATGATTACTGACTTAACAACTCATCTTCTATCAATTAACTACACAGTGTTTCTGCACAGATCTGACATTACAGCTAAGTACATTATGGACCGCATACTGAGAGATACCAGGCTCCTTCCACTCTCTACATGATTCACTGGCACAAAATATCACTGAAGGCCTGTTGGAGCTTCTGGTGCTAAAAGTCTAAAGACACTGACAGATATTGCCTCTGTAGATCAGATCAGTGTACAGTAACCTCACGGGGTAATTCATGACAATGCATCGCACCATTTGACGGCAGGTACAAGAAAAGCCTGATGCCTCCTAAGGAGCAGCTGTTGTTATGAAATGGATCCACTGCTGCTGGGAATAATCAATTTCATAACAGTGCTGGCGTTCAGTTTTGAACTGGAATGTAGTCTGAATATAATGCAAACCATAAGCAAGGAAGGCCTCTGCACACGGAGCCATGTACGCACTGTGAGCTCCCTTCGCTGTCTAATAAAATGAATCAACCTATATAATATCCTCTGAGGCCACAGACCCTGTTGGTGATACCCGCTGGAAATCGCTAGGCAGTAATAACACCTTCCTTCCTCTTCTGACTGCTGATACAGTGTTGCACACCCACCCTGTGCCCACTCGCTGGCTACAAAGTAGCCCCTCTGCTCTGCCACCTCCCGGAAAACAGATGGAAACTCGCCTCTGTTCCGCCTCCAGGTGAGCTGCTGCGGGATCGCCGGCCCGCTGAGCAGCGTGCACACCCGGGGGCTGTGGCGCCTGGGCCGCTGGGTTACATGGCGGGCCTTCTTCCAGCATCACTGTAGAGCAAAACCTCCACTATAACAGTATTCGTTTATCACAGCTGCTTCCAGTCAACAGCCAAACGTCAATATAGTGGCAAATTTCTGCGTCAAATAATAACATGTTCACCGAAACCTACGACAGGTAAGAAAGGACTGTACTGGGGCACAGAGCCCCACTGCGCAGCAACATTTTGCTCTACGCTCAATACCATGTAATGGGAATACCATTAAATGTCCGTTATGTCATCGTAAATGTTAAGTATCCACAAAGCCGCTGGTGCTTGTGTGAAAAAATGTGCCCAATAGGCTCTAATGCATCGCTACGATGCTGCAAACACTCCCCGCGTTGTTCATCTCCAGTCTGCTGGGCCTTATATTAACCTGCCCGGCAAATGTGTGTCGTTAGAGTACAAACAGCTGGTTTCGACGGAATATGTTTGGGGTTTGCCTGGAGACAAAGCGCTGCGCAGGGATGGGAGACAGGGAGAACATAGATCCCAAGGAGGCAGCCGAAAGCTCAGGCTTGCTCATGGCCATGTCATTGAGCTGGGTAAAAACAATACATTTAATACAGTATTTTCGCCAGTGAGCTGTGCTTACCTTCCCTTGCCTTCAGGAGAACCGTGTTGGCCACGATATTTTCAATCTCCATTGTCAGAATGCGAATCCCGAACAGTCGCGATACATTTCACTCGGCGGAAAAAGATGGTTTTCTGATCAAACGTGCCGACGACGGTGAGACAGCTGCACGCGCACACAACGAACGCGGCACTGGCGCATAGTAGGTGTTCAGTAGTGATCGTCGCTCCTCTCCATTGCAAGATGTTTTATCAAACCCTACCTACGGCGCTGTATGGTTACAACGGAGCTTGTTAGCATTCACAGCCTGCCTCCCTTCCCTCTCCGCCTGCCTTCCTTCCTGCTCCTGCTCCTGCTCCGGCTCCCTCCTCCTCCTCCTCTTCACCCCTCCTCTGCACAACGAGAGTAGGAGGGATCAACTTACAACCAGTGCATAGACACACATTCTGTGCTGGAAACACATAATGTAAGACTGAGCTCTTACTGGAAACATCCCCATGTTTCCCTCGTTTAATCAACGCTTATATGGCTTTGTATCCAACCAGGAATGAACGTGCTAATAAATAAAAGTTCATCTCTGCTACAGAGCCATTTTATAGGCCTACTGGCTAATGTATTATAAGGAAACATGATTGCTATCTGCAACAGAGGCCTGTTATTTCATAACACAGTTTTTCTCCACCTCATGGCCACACTGTGACCCAGCATCCCTCTGGGCTTTCTAATACAACTCTTTGATCAAGTAAAATCACAAGACTTTGAGCAGAACACTGTTCTGAGAACAGTGTGTCTGCAACAAAGGGGGGAATGGAGCTGTTGACCTTTTAAGATGATGTGAAAGTTGTAATTTTATGTATAAAATTTGTTTTAGAATCATAATTCAGATCCATAAATATGATCATTGAGAATGAATAGTAAAAGGCAGTTTCACTTTTCATTTTGCTGCTAGGATCATAAAAGCATTACAGGGGAGGAACTCAGAGGTCAAAGGTCACTAACATTTCTCTGTGCACACTCACCACCTGAATCCTTCAAGTTATTGTATATCAATCATGTTTTGTTGTTGGACTGTGGGGTGCGTTTTTAAAGCAGTAGGAGGAAATAATATCGCAGTTAATGGCAGTTTATTGTGAACAGGTGTGTGTGTACATAGTGAGGACCAAAAAAATATTTTGCTACAAAGTGAGGACATTTTTGGAAAGTGAAGACATTTTGGCTGGTCCTCACTTCGTGAAACAGATATTTGAGGGTTAAGACTTGGTTTTAGCGTTCAGGTTACAATTAGGTTTATGTTAGGGTTATGGTTAGGCATTTAGTTCTCATTATGTCAGTGAGTGTCCTCACCAAGATAGAAGTGTAAGTGTAAGTGTGTGTGTGTGTGTGTGTGTGTGCGTGTGTGTTCAGATGTAAAAATTATTGGCAGCAGCCTTGTTTCTCACACCACAGATCAGATAAAGCCATGGCATTCACTGATGTGATGGGATCACTACATTGGATGGGAAATGAAACCTGCTGGGATTAGTTATACAATGGAGAGTCATGAAGCTATTCTTTAACTGTGTGGTAGACCATATTTGCCTGTAGAAGAACTATGTCATAATAAAATGCCTCTGCTTCTTACTTTTTATTTAAGGTATTTTCCTTTGAGGTAAAAGTTAAGGAGGCAACGTTGAGTGCTATTACCAATAACTCTAACTTGTCAGGATCATATCAACAGGAATTCCCAAACAAATGACTTGACAGTAATTACAAAACCACTTCAGTGATATGTCACAGTCCATGGTCTGTCAGTACAATAAAATCCCACTATTCGCTTAGTGTCACAACTGCTGCACACAAATGCTGCCACCTAGAGGTGATAATGCAAAAGTACAACTGAACCTTACATACAGTAGTCATACTGAATACCTAGATGTTAAAAGTGTTTTCTAGTAGTTTGGACAAAAGTGTGCATACATATAAGTAGAAAAAAATAAGGATCTTTCTATCTATATATCTACATATGTAGTTGTCATGCCAGTCGAGGGTTGTGTAACTAGTGTGTCAAACAATAAACAAGGTAGAATGAGCTGCAGTGTTGGAATGTTATCAAGTGTCTTTGCTCACATAGCCTACTGTACATAAGTACATGCATGAGATACTTTTGCTTTATTTATTAATATGTAGGCCCACTTACCATCCTGCTTTATAATTCTACTGATTACAATTCAGGGGAACACCGTATCTTTTACTCCACTACACTATAAAATATATAAAAAAGCATAAAATACGGTGATGCTTTTTCTTGATTAAACTATGTAACAATAAATGTTGTAGAGCTGAAACAACTATACTGACAGGAAATCGACAGCTTAGACAAGTCATTTTTCACTTAAGGATGTTAAACGTTTTATGTTCCAGCTTCTCAGATGTGAGGATTTTTTTAAATAATCATTTTAATAAATTTTTAGTTTTAATTTTGAGGTTTGGTGTTGTGTTGACAAAACAAGCACCATGAAGGTGTCGCATTATGCTCTGGGTTATTTGCAACAGGTGTTTCATTCAGTTTTGTAAACTTTTACAAACCAAGCAATCAGCCAACAATGAGACAATAATGAGGAGATTAATTCACTGTGCAAATAATCAATAGACTGCTTTCACATCAATGTATGAGTAATAAATACTAAATGATAACATATATCATATCATACAGACTTAAATATACATTGACATTTTTTCTGCATGAGCATTTTTACTTTATAAATACTTTGCATACATCACAATTTCATTATATGTTTACATGTAATAACAATAAAGTTTGACTTGACTTGCATGTTGCATTTTCTTCCTCACCTCTCTTTTTTTTAAAAGATAATCACCTTTATTTGGCCAAGTATGTTACACACAAGGAATTAGTTTCTGGTACAGAATCGAGGCAGCATCTGCAGCGCCAACTCAACCAATGGCTCTAACCATTGAGGGCAACTTGGGGGTTCGGTGTCTTGCCCAAGGACACTTCAACATGTGGACTGCAGGCACTGACGTTTGAACCTCTGGTTGGTAGACGCCTTCTCTACCCACTGAACCACAGTTGCCCTGCAATTACTCAAATAAAAAAGTAAAAATCAGATAAAAAGAGATGACATTAACTTTAGCAATTTCCATGGGACACTGTGTCATGAGAATGCTGGAGAAATAAATATATGGATTTTCTACATTAAGGACACAAGATGGTGTTGCTCTCATAAAAGTGTTCAGATGTTGGTGCTAGAATTTCAACAGATTAGCTAGAACACACAGTTAGCGATCCCTAATATGCACATTTTTCATTTGACCTCTGCTGAATTTACTGTTATTTCACTCACTGGACGTGGCTCCTTGGGATTTATGTTTCTCCCTGTCTCCCATCCCTGCGCAGCGCTTTGTCTCCAGGCAAACACCAAACATATTCCATCGAAACTGGCTGTCAGAGCACACAGTTACATTCCACTACTGGATGTTGTATTATTACTCCTGACACATTATTTATGTAGCATTTTAATGTTATTGAGGCAGAGTTCATTTTATTGTACATACTGTGCTGATTATATGTTGCTTTGTATACTTTATAATACTATGAACACGTTGTGTCTTTTGCTTCATTCTTTAGAACTGAGCTTCTCTGTGAATCAACTGACTGTATAGACTCTATCTATTCAAGGTCTCTTTGGTAAAAATGTGAATTCCGTGTGCATTTACATTCAGGATTACATTTTTTTTTTGTCCAAGTTTCATCTTTCTGGTTCCTGTACAGTTTGAGATGGGCTGGGAAAAAAAACGTCCAGTTGAAATTAAACTTCTACATAAGTGCATTTAGGACGATACCTAGGATGAATGGCATATGTTCTTAAACACAATATTAAGGTACTTGTACTTGAGTATTTCTGTTATACGCTACTTTATGCTGTAGTTCTACCGCAACAATTTTCAGAGGGAACTGTTTGCCTTCCTCTCCACTATAGATTCATTTGACAGTGGTAGTTAATAGATATGTTGTGTGGTTTTCCATAAACATATAATCAGCACAGTATACAAAATGAACTCTACCTCAATAGCGTGTCAGGAGTAATAATACAGCAACCAGTAGAGGAATGTACCTAAGTACATTTTATTTCCATTTATGATGCAGTTTTAGGGTTTTTTTTAAAAAAAAAAAGAAAGAATGGGTGCCATGTAGTCCAGTGTCACCTTTCATGTTGCTTTAGAGCACGTGATTATGCCCAGTATCGGTGTCTCTCCTGAAGGATTCCAGATCAGGAAAGAAAATGCTCTTTGCAATTAAAATAACACTGCTGGAAGATAGTTTACAAGTGGCCTCTAAATGTTGAGACTTAACTGATCATTATCTTTAAACGCGAAGCTGATTGCCTCATGGCAATACATGAAATATATTTTTGTACTACAAAGTAAAAGTAGAAGGGGTATCCTTGTTTATGATACTTCTACTTTAAGAAGAAAATGTTGTATGATACACCCTCACATTCTTCTGACAGCCATAGCTAGTTTTTAAATGTAAAACCTGTGACCAATTAATAAAATAAATATGCATCATTATAGATTCAACAACCCAACAGTAGCCTAGTTGTTGATATCGTGCTTACATTCACTGTAACTATAGATATAAATACATTAATGAAATAATTTAAAGTAAAAGTCCATCACTGAAAATCTTTCTTGAACTGGCAACCTATATAAAAAATGAAAGTACTGGAATTACCATGACTAACTACTTGCTAGCTTTCAAGAACTGAAAGATATGCTGTCTGTTGGCAGTTTATTATGTACTGTATGTTAAAACTAGTGCAGTCTACAACAACCCTGCAATAAATGCTCACTTTGTGAGGTTGATAATGATCAGTTTTTGTTCAAATTATTTTGAGAGGTGCTGATTCAGCTGTAGGCCTATGGTCATTTTGATAGAGGTTGTTTTTATCCTGACAGGTGTTTTTATTATTTTGTCCACCTCATTTATACTGTATCAATGAGACTATGCTAAATAATATTTTAATTTATTTTTCCCCTAAAGATCTCTGAGAGGTAATCCTTATTGGAGTGCGACCTAGGCTATTTGTAGGCTATATTGGCAAAGGTTCTTGCTAAAAATGTGATTAAACTAGTTGTTGTTAGCCAGTGTGTTCGCTGTTTCCTGCCTCTGTGTGTGTGTGTTTTCACGTGACTAGTCAGAGGGCTAGTGCACCTCTGAGGCAGCAGCAAACTGTGAAAGCAAAAGGAAATACTGCAGTGCGGAGCTCAATATCTTCCTAATTAATTTAATATAAAGTGGATGCCTCAAAGTTTAAAACATGTTTTCACTCGGGGAAACAATGGACTTCCTCATAGGAAACCCTTTTTCGACGCCAGTTGGTCAGAGAATCGGTAAGTCGCAGTTGCTTTTAAGGAGTTGTGCTCCATTGGATCGATTTAACGTTATTAGTTGGGTTTTCAGGATATAACCATTTTTTCATCATTTTATAACATCACTGCCAGAGTTGTAAAGTATCTTAATGGCACTTTTATTTTTTGTTTTCGTATAATTAAAACTTCAAATTTGACAGCCATAAAATTTTCAGAGCCAATGATACGATAGAGGTGGGACTCAGTGCCCTCAGTCTATCAGGTGATTGGTCAGCCTGAGTAGACTGACAACCTGTGCGACGAATTAGCGCGCTGCCTGATGTTTTCTCTTACTTCCTCATTTACTGTTGTATTCAGTCAAGCTGCACCTTATGATAAGCTGTCGCTGACCCGTTTCAACATACGCGTATGTCACAACTATTAAAGTAGCGGCATTTGACAATAGATGCTTTTTCTTAAGTGTATTCAGGACAGTCATGACTAGTGAGAAAATGTTACACACCCATCCCAACCCTTTCTTCCTCTTATCCTCTCACTGAAATATCAAAGAGGCTTCAGCTACCTCTGAGGCAAATGACAACAGAAACAGCTGACAGTCACATGAAGTGGAAGGAGCAGGGGGAGGAAAGGCTAGGGATGAGGTAGTGGATGGAAGGAGGGGGAGAAATAAATGGGGTTGAGAAAGGCAGGGGTGAGGGAGATCAAGAAAGGAATGAAGGAGATTTAGAGACTTAGGAGAGAAACCCATGAGGGGTAGAGAACAAAGAAAGCTGCCTTTGATTGCTGAGTAGTTTGGAGGAAAATACATGTTAAAAGTGAAAATCTAATTTCTCAATAAGCCCATTACAACATACAACAAATTCCTGGAAAACGTTATTATCTGGAGGATTCCACATACATCATGAGATATTTCGGTATTTGATTTGTGTCTGTGTTTTTCTCACTAGTTTAAAGTGGCCTTGTGACCCTTGTTGGAACTCTTTTTCAGTCTGGAGAAAATAACCCTGATGATGTGATCAGGGTCATCTCGACTTGTACAAACAAAAGCATAACATAAAAACTACATTAACATTTGAGGACGTGGAGTTTGAAAGTTGTGGGTCTTTCAGAGAAAGTCTATTGAAAGACCCAATCGCGTTGCATTATGGGAAATGTAGGCTCCAGCATCTTTTTAGAGATAGAATCATACTAAAGATTAAATGTTGCTAGTATGGATCCATAGGCTTACTCTGCTGCTTTGATTTCTACTTTTCCTCATCTTTTATTTTAAATTTCTCCCATAACTTTATGGAAGTACAATACTTTTACCTTTTTCAACTATTCTTAGTTAAAGCAGTACTAATCAGTAGTTTTATATGAGCAATGGGTGAAATTACTAATGTAAGGGAAGAGGTGACAGTAGTTCAGTGTTGCATTCACAGCTGCCCCCAAGTGGCCTAGAGAATCTGTTAAATGATGTTGCATTTAGACCGTTTTGCTTATTTATCCACAAATATTTAATTTTTATTAAATATACTTGAGATTTCAAACCAACTTGTCAGGGTTTTTAATGTCATATAATGTATGTAATGTATCAGTTCTGCAAATGTGAACTTTTGCCCACAGATATAACAAGAACAGTCCCACTTATGAAGACAGATATTGAAATGATCATGCGTTAAACTTCTTTACTATATGAATATATCCCAGTGTTGTCAGTATGTCATATTTATTGTCTGACGTTTTCTTCTCTTCGTGTGGTTATTTATTAATGTAACGATATACATTTTGTTTCTGGAACAGCAAGTAAAAGCCCAACTAAATATTACTTGTCTTTGTCATGACTTCCTTCATCATGCAAATATCATGATATTGATATTGCAATAAAGTGTTCTGGTTGCCGTGACATCGACCTATTCCCGTATCAGTCTTGGTGTATTACTGTAACATATGATTTCCTCTGTGTTGACAGAGCAAGCAACCAGCGGCTCTCTAGAGTCGGAGGACTGGGGCCTCAACATGGAGATATGTGACATCATCAATGAGACGGATGAGGGGTAAAGATGATGTCATGTGTTCTGCCCAGTATACTGGGTCCCTCCAGCGGAGTGGACTAGCCAGCAGCAACTGAGATGATCATGCTCTTTATTCTTTTTCTCTGATCTCTCAGTTGTCTGAACAGTGATGATTCATGAATTAAGAATAATCCAAAGCACACAAGAAGTACCATTTCATCAAGAAGCAAAAAAAAAAAAAAAATTAGCACACAGAATCTTACGTAGGTCTTCATGTTTTATTTTGGTTGTGACTGAATAAATAACTTGCGTTTAAGGCCATTCTCATAGTTGTTTTGTTGTTTGGTTTGCAGTGCTGTGAGGAAGCTCACAATAAGCCTGAAATGCAACATGTTTGTACGGTAGTAGTTGGATGTATACATTAAAAAAAGCCAGAGCTTTTTAAAAATGTTTTGCTAGAAGAGTGACTCTGTTTTTGGTCAGTTTAATCTCTTTGTCAAGGTACATGTGAGCCTAGCCCCAGCTTGTTCTTCTCATGTACTACATTTCATGCAAACAGAGGCACAAGCTGGGGCTAATGTGAGCGATGAAGAAAACTGCCTTCATCGGTGCTTTGCAAAGCAGGGTCGTTTTTTTATTTGCTAATGGTTATTGCTTATGTTCATTTTAAAATATCAAGGTGGATTAAAAAAAAAACTAACTAATCCTCTGATGCAAAGTTGTTGTGCCCCTTTCTCCCCCACAGTCCCAGAGATGCAGTCAAAGCTATTAAGAAGAGGATTGTTGGAAACAAGAACTTCAGAGAGCTCATGTTCGCTCTTACTGTGAGTCGTCACCTGTAATCCTCTTTGTGTTATTTCATAAAGTGAGGACTGCTGGGTGTGGGAGTGTAATTTGAAGTCCTTAATGACCCAGGTCCTGATCATCTAGTGTCAAGCAGGACATGGTTTCAGGGTACATGCTTATGAAAGTGGCTAAAGCAGTATTCAGTCTTAATTTACATACAGTATGAAGACAAAAGAGCTTTATTTTGGAGCAACTCGAATCACAGATGTTTAAGTACATTTGCATGTTTTATATTTCTGACCTTATCATTGTCACACAGGTTCTTGAGACTTGTGTGAAGAACTGTGGCCATCGCTTTCACGTTCTGGTGGCATCGCAGGAGTTTGTTGAAGGAGTTTTGGTCCGTTCTATTCTGCCCAAATATAATCCCCCCACTGTCCTCCATGACAGGGTGCTTAGCCTCATCCAGGTATGTGGATGCTCAAAGGCTGAAAGTAATGATTATTTATATTCAATTAATCTGCTGGGTGCTTTCTTAAATAATGTGTGAATTGTATCAATAAAATGTTGGGGGGGGAACCCACAGCATGTTTTTCTGCAGCAAATGGTCATTCAATTTCTTTTATTTTGTTGGAATTCTTATTTAGCCTCCTGTCTGTATTTGTTCACAGTACTATGAGATAATTCACTGGTGTGTTGACATCTCCTAGCTATCCGTGTTTAATTCGATTGTATCTGCGGACATGAACAACAGTGTTATCTTTAGTGGTCTTTGTAGCTGAAATAGCTTTATGCATTCCTGTGCTTAATGGTCAAAGCCAGTTGTTTTTAATCACAGACTAGTAGGAATGACAACTACTGGCTTGTAAATGCTGTGCCTCTGTATTTCAGCTTACTGTGTTAGGGATAAAAGAGTCAGTCATTCTCATATGTTTCAGCTTATGTTCCCCTTCTCATCTCCAGGCATGGGCTGATGCGTTTCGTAGCTCCCCCTCCTTGACAGGCGTGGTGTATGTATATGACGACCTGAAGAGGCGAGGGCTGGAGTTTCCCATGACAGACCTGGATGCCCTGTCCCCTATTCACACCCCAAACAGGGTGAGACTGTGATAAAGTGAAAATGGCACTCACACAATCAATTGCATGCATAAATATCCATCTTTGTATTGCAGCTGATAATATTCACCGTCTTTGTCTTCTTCTTGTAGAGCATCCCAGAAAACGGGATCACTGACACACCCCCTGCAGCTGCTGTCGAACCTCAATCACAACCACAAGCCCCTTCCAGCTCTCCCAGTCAAAATACTTCACCTGCAGTCCAATCCAGTGACCAGGGACCAGTCTCCCTCTCTGCAGAACAGGTGCGACTGCCTAAAATACTTTCCAGGCATATACTGCATAGATCTGGTGAGGAAAACTAGGCCCGACTTCTGTTGATAAAAAACCCTTAGTAATATACATCCACTGTGAAAATGTCCAACACTTTTATAGACATTATCATGTTATGCTAATTTTCTGCATCATTATCATTCAAAAAATGACTTTATAAGATACTTGTTCTTTTCCATTTAGTGGTCACTGATCCTCTTGCAGTACACACTATAAAAGTAAAAAGAACATGAGTAGGACAAATGAAGCAGCTAAAGAAAGTCAGCCAAGAAGAAAGTTTCACCTCTTGATGTGGATACTTGAAAAGCCTCTGGAACAATACTGAAAACAGCTAAATCTGTTGTTTAAGTGAATCTGGTCACCTTATTGTTAACAGGAGAAACTTCCACCATATGATACTGAATTTAAATGAATTCAAATGGAAAAAAACATCATCTTAGAACCCACTGATGTGTAATAATGCATTAAAGAAGTTATGGTTTCTATTTATGTAGCTGTGGCAGGGGGCAACATGATGACTAGAAAATGGTCTGAATTGAGAGTCAGCATTTGACTACTGCTGTTTCTTGTTTGTTCATTTTTAATCCAGGAGCACAAGCTGCGAAGTGAGCTAGCACTGGTGAAGGGAAATCTCAAAGTGATGTCTGACATGCTGACTGAGCTAATACCTGGGCAGTGCCAACAAGATGATACAGAGCTGCTACAGGTGTGTGTTGCTAGAATTGTCTATAGTGTCTACTGTGTCCATGTCTTCCCACCAGAGTTATAAAGGAAATATTCATCTTTTCAACACTGTTAAAAACAGTCATTGGTGTGAAGATGTGCCATATAATATTTGTGGTCCTCTTTTATTGACTCTGCTTGTCTTATTCTGATGCTGAATTTTTATGGCACATCTAAAGTAGGGCTCCATAATGACCTCCGTGTAGCTGAGATGCTAAAATGTTATATCACTAAGATGTTGTTATATCACAAGTGTCAACTGGATCAAACTGGCTGCCGAGTGTCGGCACCCTATCCTACACCCATATGTGGTCAGTGTCCTTTTCATGTCAAAGAATTCTGGGAAATATAGGAAAGTAGTGATCAATGTAAAAGTAGATGAATCAAGATGAGGGAAACTGGTAAAACTGAGAAGCAGATTACACCACTGGGTCATAAAATAATTCCAGTAACCGATTTAACATCGGAGAATACAGATGATTTTCTTTTAATTCATCTCTTTCTCCTCTTCTGACCAAGCAGCAACTATACTCTGTGTGTAAGAGGATGCAGACCCGAGTGGTGGAGCTCATCCCCCAGCTGCTGGATGAAGGATTCATTGAGGAGCTGCTCGTGTTGAATGACGACCTCAACAACACCTTCATCCGCTATGAGAGGTGTGCTGCAGCCTAGGCTTTGTGTCTGGGATTTTGTTTCTGAGACTGTTTGGTTTTAAAAGTGAAATTCAAGCTTATTTAAATTGCCTATGGTTAATTTCATGTTCACTGTCTTGTAATTGTGTTCTAGGTTTGACAGACTGAACAAGGCACAGGTTAGTACTCAACAGGTAAGAAAGCTCTTGTTTGGCATAATTAACACAGTGCTTGGTTTTTCTCTATAATACTGGAAGGTCTAGACCTTACCATGTAAACTGCCCTGAGATGGTTGTTGTTTGTTGTTCATATACAAATAAAACTAAATTGAATGGAGTACTGTGTGGCTCAGAAAACTGTTGGTGGTGTAAGAATATACTCCCACACTAGGTGACTCCCTCTGTGTCATGTCCCTCTGTCAGCAGAGCTCTGCTGGCACTCCGAGCCTCACAGACCTCAGCCAACCTGCTGTCGTCACAACAGACAGCCAACCGGCAGTCAGTACCTCGGCCATTCAACAACAATCAGCCAACCACAGTGAGTAAACTATGCAACTTCTGCTTCTTCTCTTGTGCAACACCAATATGCACTTATACGCATGATTTCTTCTAAATGACACCTGGCTTTCATCATTTTTGTATTTCTGGTAGAAAACAGAATATTGTGAGGAGTGTTCAAAAAGGCACAGACAACACCATAACAAACATCACTATGTCTAGCATGATAGTTTAGGAAAAGAAACAGTGGTCAGAGGAAATCGTTCATCTTTTCAACACTGTTAAAAACAGTCATTGGTGTGAAAGTTCACTGTTGTGGCACCTGATCTGTTTGGAAGTGTATGTTTTATGTGGATGGTGGGACTCTGGGGAAATTTGTGCTGAAATTATTGCTTATGCATAGGAGTATATATTCAGATTTATTACAAAAATATGCCATTTTCCATGAATTACAAATAATGAAGCATTGATATTAAAACAGAAAAATACTGGTTTTATCAGTGTTGTTGGTTTATTTAAATTATATGATGTCTTGCCATGGGAATTAAGAGACATAAGATAGAGGGACTGGTTTTCAATTAGTTGTGACTTTATGAGTTAACCTTCTGTGTTGCAGAAGAGGAGGAGGAATTTGACATGTTTGCTCAGACTAGAGACAGCTCCCTGGCTGAGCAGAGGAAAAGGTGAGTGGTATCATCATTCATTACTTTTGCTGCCAAGTTAAATTTTTAAATGAGAGACTGTATCCAGGGCTTAAAGACACCTCATAAGGAACCAGTTGTTACTTTATCATATTTATTGTAAATATTCTGATATAGGTTTTAGGAAATATACATCTTTTCAGTGTTCCATGTCAATATGAGCATGTCCCTGGCATGTGTGTCCAGTGTCAGGTACGAGGACCCAGGAGCTGTGGAGGGCCTCGCTGGAGCTCTGGACACGAGGTTGCAGGTCACAGGAGGGGTGTGTATACCACAGTAACATTTAAATGAGTTTGAATAGTATATTTAGTGAGGATTACTAGAACTTAAAACTGTGTTAATGATTCTAAAACACAGTGTTACTTTATCCCTTACTTGTTTGTTTGTTCTCTTAGATGCCACCAGATAAAAACTCGCACCAGAATGATAGTGGCAATTGGTTATCTTGTCATACGGTAAGAAAAATCATGCATGGTGTTCTCCTCAAATGAAAACAATGTGATGTGTGATTCAACATATGATGCATTCTTTGCTCTCTGTTTTATTGTGCATGGAAATGTAGGAAGAGCCGTCCTCGGTTTGTGAGGGAGTGTCTAGTGAAGGTATGCATTGTTTCCTCTCTAGTGGTTCACAGTTGCTATTTGAATGTAAATGTAATGTCTTATAAACCATCCCGGTTAAGTGTATGTACACACACTTCTAATTCTAACTATCCCTGGCAGAGTTTGATAATTTTCTGGAGGATCGAGTGAAGGCGGCAGACCACAGCAGCCAAGAAACTCGCACCGTTCCGCCCACCACATCCAGACCACCACCGCAATCTACCCAGCAGCAGGACGGATCACATGACCAACTGTTTTCACTTTGAGTTTGGGGACAGACAAAAAGGAACAGGCGGATGTAAAGTTCAACTTACTGAAATGAGCACATGATCACACATGTGCTGTGCCAAGTCAGGTTTTCTCTAAAAGTACACAAACACATGTACACAAAATAAAACCTGACACTACAGGACTGCTGCTTAATCAGCTCATTGTATAATGCAGTATTTCTTAGTTTACTTTTCTGGTTATCTTTTTGTAAGTACACACAAGGGTTAACTATATTTTTGAAATATATTATGCTAATGTTGATTAAAACAAGAACCTAAAACTTTACTTTTATAATATTAAGAATGTGGGTTTTTTTTGTTTGTTTGTTATCATGTGCCTTACCAGAAAGCTGATTTTGTGAAGATGAGAATAAATGGGTTTTTGTCCAGCAGAACATGTTTTCTCCCTCTCTTGTCACTATCTAAGCTACCATGAAGGGAATTTACCCTGAAGCTCATTTTCTGACTGATCCTGTGTGAGAGAGCTGTTGTTTTTGAAGATCTTCTATCTGAGGTCACTGACACAGCTCCAGCAAATCCAGGTCAATTATAACTTCTGTTCTTGTTTCATGTATGCTGTGCAATATGCAAAATAATTTTTTTCTCACATGGATGTCCCCTTGATAACAGCTCATTGGCTGACATATTTAATACATATAACACAAGTACAAACTGTATTCTATTGATTCATTACATGAAACCAAACTAAAGCAGATCTGTGCTGTATTTTGCACTGGTGAGTTAGTCAAAACATCAGAGCCTTGAATGAGAAGTGGGAGCTTGGCCATACTCCGTAATACGCCTGCTGTTTTTGTGAAAGGCACTCATTTCAGTATGTTATTGTTTAAGAGCTCAAGGATGTCTGGTGGTAGGTACACAGAGTCCCAGAAACACCTGGAGGACAGCATTTAACTGAACGGGTGAAAAGGAAGAGCAGAGCAACAGTTTTTCTTTATTCTTCGTGTTACGGTTCAGACTTGAAGACCATGTTCAGAAAGTTTAACTTTGTCGGTCTCTGCCATATTTTTGTGTCTTTGCTTCTAGATGGATCTGCAGCCTTTATATCTAACGTGTCAACCCAGACTCGGCCTCCAAATGTAACTGTTTGGGATTCACCTTTTATTCAGCTGAGAGCCAGGCTGCCGTCCTACTCGCAGCCAATTCGTCCATACAACCTGCTGACTAGTGCTGAAGACTACCATTACTTGCCCAAACTCAGACATCGTCGCCCCTCTCTACTCCTACATCTTCTGGGATCCTCCTTTGACCCATTTTGGATGTCCATCGATCAGCCATCTGACGCGTCTGGGGTTTACAGTCGTGGTCGACCTTTGCCTGTCAAATCACTCAACTACACCACTTTCAAAGAGAACCTGAGTTCTTCTCCAGAGCTCAGAGAAGCTGCAGCACACCGTCACCAGAAGCTGGAGAAGGAAGCTGCAGAGCTGGACCTCAGTTCTCTGCCCTTAGATGTTGCCAGGGCAGTCAGAGACTGGCTGGTGCACTCAGCAACATGCGAGCTACACTACCAGTGGGTCGATCTGGGTCCAGCTTTCTGGCCACGTTGGCTGCGGCAGACTGATTGTGAAAGATCAGGTGCAGTGCAAAGTTGCTCCTTTCCCAGTGGGATGGAGTGTGTGAGAGCTCAAACAACACACCTAAAGATTCTGGCCTGGCAATGCTTTGAAATCAGAGATGGAGGTGATGGATCCAGAGCAATTAAGAGTGAAAGATCTGATGGCAACACTGAAGTGGGGACAAAAGAAGCAGCAAATAGGTGTTTGTGGAGAAAAGTACCTTACCCTGTGGTCACTGCATGTTCATGTTCATGTAAATGAATGTGGTTTCAAGATTTTTTACATCTGCAGCTAAGTTTCTGTATGAATATTGAGTTTGTATTTGATGAACTTAAAACTGTGCTTTCCATATCCAGTCATTACTACTTAAATTTCTGGGCAAAACACCGCATGCACCTTAATGTTGTTGGCTTTACATAAAAACATAATAAACAACTTGACAATTTGTTAAATTACTGAACTAGGGGGAAATCAGAAACTCTTTGCGAGGGACAATCTGAGTTAATAGTCCAAACACAATTCTCTATTGTTGCTTTATGGAACCAGTTGTAAAGTGGACGAAGTACAGTAAAGCTACTCATTTACCTTCTCCATTACGTGATGGTCTGGAGGAGATTTTACAATCAAATAGAAGAAATGAATCCAAAATAAATGTGTCGCCTGTTGTTCCATTTAAAAAGCTATGCTGACAAATGTATTTTTGCAACAAGAAATGTTCTGTCTAGAATAGCGTATAATCCAGTCATTTTACCTGGCATACAACACAAATAAAGGTTTTAGATGAGTTCATGTCTCCGATGTATTAGGTGATTTCTGTGCCGGCTGCCTCCCCACAATTCCAGATGATAAAGTTAGTTTTCCTTTTTATATTTATTTAGGCTATTCGTTATCGCTCTTTGTGAGAGCCTGGTATCATATACACTATTAGATATATTTCTTAGTTATTACACAGTTTGTGAGTTTTGAAATAAATGCAAACATCACTAAAAAGGAGTTGAATAAATGAACGTGACGTCATGTATATACAATAAGCCAAAAACTCCGAGGATCAGTGAAGGTAGCTGTGTCGGAACGTCCCACCTGTACGGTACAGTGTACACAGACAAGATGGCAGCTTCATTGGAAGACGAATTCGAAGATGCGCCTGATGTGGAGCCATTAGAACCAACCCTGAAGAATGTAATCGAGCAGAAATCGTTGAAGTGGATATTTGTGGGTGGGAAGGGTGGTGTTGGTAAAACGACGTGTAGGTAAGTCGCGGGGGAACCATAATTTGCCTTCTGGCATTGATTCACGTCGCTAGCCAAACCAGTACCCTCTCTCGCTAGCTATTAGCTTAGATTAGCCTTCACCAGAAACGGACGTTGGTCATTATCAGTAAACGGAACAAGATGCGCTGTTTTTCAATACCAATAACTTAATCAGCGTTAGAAAAGTGACTCAAAACGCGCTATAATTAAATATACCAATATACCGGCCGGTGAAATGCTGTTAAGCACGGTCAATAGCTAGCTAACGTGGTGTGATAATCGCAGTACAAGCAGATGTTGACAGCCTGCTTGTTCCCATATTTTCTCCCCGATTTAACGGAAAACCCTTCTACCCTGCGTTGGGTAACTAACTCAGTTTGCAACATTAGAAAAGGCTAATTGAGTAACTGGTGAAGACTGCGCTAGGTAGCCTTAGCTGTCAAGTCTGTATAACAGCTTAATTACACATCACGCTTCCGCCAACAATTCATTTTGAATCCATCAGAGGTGTACAATATTAAGAATACGCAGTGTCAAAGGCAGAAATATATACCTAAAACACTGTTACCACCTTGAAGATAGCGTCATTCTAAGTTACCGTTACTTTGGGGTTATGACAGCTAGGGCTTTCAGACAGTTTTTGCATACATAAACATTTAAAAATCATTTAAAGCATTTAAATTGTGGTTATGATAGCATTCATTACATGTCGCTAGAACCATCTAGGTCAAGAAATGTTGCCACTTACATTAGTTTAGTTAATGACCGTGAAAGGTGACATTTAAGGTGCATAGCAGTATTACAGTAATCAAATTTCATTCGGCATTCAGTCTTATTTCTTGTTATCCATACTATGTACAAACATACTGCCAAGCTCTCACTGGAGGTGAGCACTTCCTGCGGTACCTAGTGAACTACTGTGTCATTTTTCTAGCTGTAGTTTGGCTGTCCAGCTGGCTGCAGTCAGGGAGAGCGTCCTCATCATCTCTACAGATCCTGCCCATAACATCTCTGATGCTTTTGACCAGAAGTTCTCAAAGGTGCCAACAAAGGTCAAGGGCTATGACAACCTCTTTGCAATGGTAAGTCACACTAAGATTGGCACAGTTCTCTTCAAAAGTCCTAGTAAATCAATGACATGGAGCCAGCATGCACAGTACGAGGACCCTGAAGCTGAAGTAGCTAAGTAAAATTAATAGCAGAATTTATTACCTCCCCCAAGGCAGAGATAATGTTTTTACTGGTGTGTGTTGGTTGGTTGGTTGGTTTGTTCACAGCATAACTCAAAAGGCAATGAATGATTTTTGATGTCATTTTTTGGAGCGGTAGGGTACAGCCCACGGAACAATCAACTAGATTTTGGTGCTGATCTAGATCATCATCCAGATCCAGGAAATTCTTTTAATGATTCTTCACCATTGTGAGATAGGGCCGATTTCAGTATTTTTGCTTCTAATTCCGTACACAGTTAATAGAATGCTTGGAAATATATTGCAAGCTTACATCCACATAAGATCTACCAAGTAATATTCTGGTTCTGCTGATCCAGATTGTTCAAATGTATAGGGTTCACAGAAAACTTGATATTGTGAGACAACAAATGATGATACCAACTTGCAACTAAGCTCAACAGATAGTGTGTCAACAGATGTGACATACCGTACTATCTTCCAAAGTTACTGAGCTGCATACTGAAGAAAATTGCCATTACTTAAATAGTTTTTCTTGTATAACTTTCAAACTAATAATGATACCAATGTGATTTCCAAATGCTAGGGGTAGGTTTTCATGGTCAAGGAATTATATTATGGGGTCACACTATTGTGGGAATAATGCTTTTCATTGGCATGGCATTATGGGGAAACAGAGCTCCCTTGGCTGAGGTTCACTTTCTCTGAGTGCTGTCTAGTAGTAATGGCCAAATGAGGTTTGCCTGAAGCTTTGCAATCCATTGTATCACTAAAAGCCTTATTGGACTCAGAGTGCACTAGTGACACCTGCTGTTTTAAGAGGAATGAAATGTGGCCATCCTGGCAGAATGACATGCTTGTGTAACTGTAAGGTGAAAGAGAAAACCTTTTGATTTAAAAAAAATGTATTTAGAAACAACCTTTTCTGTTGTATGATGTATAGCCTACCTACCCTTTATCTGTGGCTGAGTGCAGGAGATTGACCCTAGCCTGGGTGTGGCAGAGCTGCCTGATGAATTCTTTGAGGAGGACAACATGCTCAGCATGGGCAAGAAGATGATGCAGGAGGCCATGAGCGCCTTCCCTGGGATCGACGAGGCAATGAGCTATGCAGAGGTCATGAGGTAACACAGTCTGGTCATTGCAAAGCCAGACCATGTTTTCTTGAAGGTGAAGCTGATCCAGAATTGCATTTACATTTCAGTGTATTATGACTGAGTTGATAAAGAAAAGCTGCTCAGTTGTGAGTGACACTACCTTCGTCTGCCTATGCCTTAGGTTAGTGAAAGGAATGAACTTCTCAGTGGTGGTCTTTGACACTGCCCCCACTGGCCACACACTGCGGCTGCTTAACTTCCCCACCATTGTAGAGCGCGGACTGGGCCGCCTCATGCAGATCAAGAACCAGATCAGCCCTTTCATCTCCCAGGTGAGGATGAGCAGATCCAGCAATTCATGAGGCATTTACCAATTTTTAGCTGAATTAGGATGTCTAAAAATCCACATTGCTGCCACTGAGTTTTGAATGGGAAGAGTAAAGGTGGATGGAAACCGCAGCTATAACATAAAGTTCATATTGTTCATCGAAAATAGTTTTTAATTAATTAGAAACAAATGGCCTTCAGTATATCAGATACTGTGTATGATTGAAGCTGCCTTTTAGCTTCTCTCTTTTTCTCTGATTATTTGTAGATGTGTAACATGCTTGGTCTGGGGGACATGAACGCAGACCAGCTGGCCTCTAAGCTCGAGGAGACTCTGCCAGTCATTCGCTCGGTCAGCGAGCAGTTCAAAGACCCGGTAAGTCACACAAGCGTATTCAGAGCACAGCCACATTACTGTCACTTCAAGGTAACAAGTGTTATTCTACACTTGCTCTTATGTTGTTTAGGGTTGGTTTTGTTTTTTTGCACTACACTTTACAGACATATATTTCTCCAAGCAGCTACAGCAGACTACACCCCTCCCAAGCACTGTTGATTAAGAATTAATGTTAAAGGTTTATTCCCAGCAATTTCTAGTTTATTTTTGTCCTGGCTCATGTGAGGCAGACTTTCTGTTTTCACTGCAGCCCGTCCTCTAATGGCAGCTTCATTATACTGTATGCTCCAGTGTTGAAACTTAATGTATATACACTGTGGGGAATAAATACTGAAGCAGTTGACAGCGCGCTTTGTTGGTCCGTTGCATTAGTGGTTCTGCACAAAATGGTTTTATGTATAGTACAAACAATAACTGTAGTGTTGAGAGCAACTCACCACATGAACTAGTGATATTAAAAGCTTTCTGTATATGTGTAACACTTCCCCCCTTCTCCATGCATCAATCAGGAACAGACCACCTTCATCTGTGTGTGTATCGCTGAGTTCCTCTCCCTCTATGAGACTGAGCGGCTGATCCAGGAGCTGGCTAAGTGCCGCATCGACACACACAACATCATTGTCAACCAACTTGTGTTCCCTGATGCTGACAGGCCATGTAAAATGTGTGAAGCCCGCCATAAAATTCAGTCCAAGTATCTAGACCAGGTACGGCTCAGTGGGCTTTGTTATTACTGCTGCATTGTTTAAATGGCACGTGTCATTGTTCTGACTGATGGTCTGTCTTCTCCTGACAGATGGAGGACCTTTATGAAGATTTCCACATAGTCAAGTTGCCGCTACTGCCCCATGAAGTTCGAGGCGCCAGTAAGGTCAACACGTTCTCCAAGCAGCTCCTGGAACCCTACAAACCCCCAAACAAGTGATTTCCCTTCCTGCAGCCCCTCCCAGACCACACCTCTGTGTACAGCCTGAACTCACCTTAACTGAGCTCCCCACCAAACAGCCTCAAGACGACCCACTCAGTCCCCAGCCCGTCATCCAACGCAGAGCGGCCTACAAGACATACGCCCTTAATGAAGGGAAGTCCATGAAATCACAAACACACACGTACATGTTCTCCTATATTGTTAGAGATAAAACGGTGCAGATTTGTACCCTCGCTTCAACTTCTCCTGTTTTCTTATTCTCGTTGTGGCAGTTATACAGTTCCTCCTTCAAGCATTTAACTTTTCTTAACGTAAAACTCCGCCTCCTCAGACCTACAATGTCCAGCCTCAGTTGTGACAAACTAGTAGATTCAGAGACAGTGGTATAATCCAGGATGGGTGATATTTATGCCATATTCATTCTGTCTGTTCTGCAGTTTGACATATAACAAAATTTCCCAAACCCATCAATCTCACATTAGTAATTTCTATTCAGATTTCTACAGATTCAGGGTGTGACGGCAGGGCAATGAAAAAATACACTCAAAAAAAGAAAAGAAAAGGATATGGCCTGTGGTCGCTAGTAACTTTTTTCTTATTGAAATAAAAAAAAGAAGTCTAAAGTAAAGCAGCCTGAAGTGTGTCTTTTCTCATTAGTCACATCATTAGACATCATCATTCCAGGTGATTCTGGTGTCAATCCAGTTTACTCAGTAGGGGAGATTTTGAATCCCTGTGCTATTTCCTGAGCTCGACAGTATTAATAGCCTGTGATAGATGTTTTAAACCACTGTGCTTGCTTCAGGTGATGGAGGCAGCACCAGTGTGGAGACAACATGTGTGGTGAGACTTGATGTTTTGACTGACTGGAAGCTAAAGAGTTACCTGACACTGCTGAACGCCCAGTAAAAGTTCCCATACAGTGCTCATAACATTCATCCAACTGTCAGACATTGTGTCCATCCCGTTCCCTGAGAACTATATGGGAACACCGAAAGACATCAGTAGCCTTATTTAGTGCATCATTAATCAAAAATATGTTGAATGTTGCTTGACAAAACGTTGACCAAAAGAATGGCTAGTAAAGAGGTCTTTGTGATTGAATACTGAATGTTGTTGTTTCTCAGCAGAAAGACCTATAAGGCTGGCTATGCCAGGCTGAAGTAAAGGCAGAATTCCTTCTCTGTTCCTGAGTGTTTTTGAGTCAATAAGAATCTGTTTCTATGGATTTTTCTTCAAATTATACTGCAAGTGTTAATTAAAGCTAACTTGCCTCAGCTGACAGTCTCTTGTGCTCATTACTTTAATCTGTACTGTGTGGTTCATCAGTCTGATAATTGGAGTAGACTGAAGTAATTGTTCCTGAGAGCGCAGGGACGCGCCAAGCTGAGCAGCCTGCAGACTGACTTTGACAGAGCACGAAGTCTTTCATCGCAGTTCCGGCGCAACAGGAGAAGCGGACATTTATTGAATGAAAGAGAAAAGAATATGGCACAGATATGACTGATATAAGACGCATTTTACCATCTGTATAGCATTTTATTACTAAATGCGCAACAAGTAGGCGTAGCCTTGTAATTATAAACCTTTAACTGTGAAATATGGTTGTTTTCCTATCACTTCACACACAGTTGTTCCACTGTTCCCTTGCTCTAGTCTTATAATTCCCTGCTGTACTGTACTGTACTGCGGTCATGCGCGCTCCTTGTGCGGCGACGCTGCGCCCTGTGGCTTGTGGTCCATTACCGAGCCGCGCTCTCCCGGTCGGGGGCCGCGCTAACGAGCTCCTCCTCCTCGTTTTGGGGATTTACCGCGGGCACAGTGAAGCACCCAGGAGGCTCCGAGGATTACTGCCATGCAGCAGACCGAGCCTCAAGTTTACCGAGTTGGCGACAGGGGATATCGGGGTTATTCAAACTTAAACAACACTGGTAAGGGAGGACTAAACTGCTAAGTGAAAATATGAATTCACTTTCCCCGTGGTGCCAATTACGCACAGAGTTGCGCTGAGCAAGTGGCACATTCCACAACAAAAATACACCACAGAGGTAAGGACGAGCGTTTTCGAGATAAAATATATTGACAGTAAGTTTAGTGTCTGTTCAGTTAATTTCATGCGATTAACCTAATGGGAGTACGCTGCATATGTATATTAAGTTTACAATGACCAGGCAGGTGTCTAGTGTGATCATTCTTGTTAATTATATAACAACACTGTCTGACCGTTCATGTGCTCATGGCCTCTGACCCACCTGAACTTGTGTACTGCAGAGGTGATGCTTTCTTCCATATACCATAGGTCGTCTAGTTTGAAGACTCTCACCAATGACTGTCACCTACACGGCCAGAGTTGCAAACGCCAGATTTTGTGGCTTCTCCAAGCTGCTTTTGGCCTGGAAAGGCAGCATCTACAAGGTGCTGTATAAGGAATTCCTGGCCTTCTTTGCCATGTATACCGCCATCAGCATCACTTACAGGTGAGAAAGAAAGTGCTACTTTACACTGACTGCTGACATATTCATTGCTGTTACGATTTATCAAAGGATTGTTCATTACTTTTACCTTTTTAGGTTTTTCCTCTATGACGAGAAGAAGAGATATTTTGAAAAGCTAGCAGTGTATTGCAACCACTATGCCAGTCTCATCCCTATGTCCTTTGTACTGGGTAAGCTTAATGATGATCTCGTCAGCTTTCTGAGCCTCTCCACCAGACAGATGAACCTGGGTTCACTGGGATGTTTGCATATTTGACTTTTTCCTTTTTGATTAATTCAGAATTGTACTCCTACATAAGTAAGGTTTGATAACTAGCAGAAGAGTGAACTCCAAAAAGTGCACTCAACCACATTTTATAGGTTTTCAGGTAAAGGAGCCTCTACACCCTTAGAATAGGGGCACATATACAGTACATGACCATTGTAATTACACCTAGATATCCAGCTTTGACAATCACTGAGCCTAACTAATATTGATAGGGTTGATGCCATTGCTGTTATCTGGGAGAGCAAAACTTTTCAATTAAATATCCTGGATGACATTTTTATGAATATGCATTTCGGCTATGATCCATCAGAAGTGATGTGATAGCAGCTTACCTTTCTTACACACGTTGTATTTTTCTGCAGTATATACTGTTAAGTATATTCATTTGATCTTATAGTTTTTCATTCTTTATTTTCTTCACACATAAACCAGCTAAAATACTAGCTAAAGCTCAAGTATACAGTTTATAACAACTCAAGTTTATCTGACAATATTTGCTCTCTGATGTATCGGTTGAGCTCCAGCAGAACTTATGTAACAATTAATGTGACCTTCTGGTCCCTGGACTCCAAAAGGGAACCCAGAGAACCCAGTTTGAGAAAAGACACCTTTAGCCTTTCCTTTCAGGTCTGATCTATGTCTCCAGAGTAATCACCTGTCAGTCCACTGTTGTTTTCAGGTTTCTATGTGACCCTGGTGGTGAACCGATGGTGGAACCAGTACACCAGTATCCCACTCCCAGACAGGCTCATGTGCGTCCTCTCTGGGGGACTCCAGGGGAATGACGAGCGAGGCCGTCTGCTGAGGCGCACCATGATGCGCTACGCCAGCCTGTCAGCCCTGCTCATCCTCCGCTCTGTCAGCACCGCTGTTTTCAAACGTTTCCCCACCATAGACCATGTGGTGGAGGCTGGTGAGTAGGTGGAAGGTAATGGGGTTGTTGGAGTGAGTTAGGTGTGATCTTATTGAATTATCCACAAATGATTTAAATGAATCAAACTTAAAATAAGTTAATGCACTCTGCTGTCCATGCAAACACACAATACAACCACGGTAATCATAACTTACGCTGAGTTTATTTATGCCTAACTGACTTCTCTCTCCTTCCTGGGAAGCATTGTCAACGCAGTGATGTGGTCAGTCACACTCTCACATCACAAGTTTGTCTTGTTTCCTCCCCTGTACGTTCTCTACACCAGCAAGTGCAGCAGAAATCACAAGGACAGGCACATCCTGAAATTCAGAGATGATAAAAAGAAGCTATCGTGAGCCCATAACAAGACCACAGCAAACATGTTGCAGCTTCTGTGGAATCAGAGAGTGATTTACACCGTGACCTTTTTTTAAAGGGTTGTAAACATTTGTCAGAGATGTTAACAAGGCATTTTATAACTGATAGCTATAGTGTCCACATTAAAGTAGTTCACATGACATATTTGGAAATCAGTCTCAAATAAAAGTATTTATATCTCACATCAAATGTCAACCTGACCAGTGTTTGATTGTTTGTTGTTGTTTGTTGTGTCTTGTTGCTTTTTTACCTCTTCTCTCTCCTCTATCCACTCACCCCAACCGGTCGACGCAGAAGGCCGTCCACCAAGAACCGGGGTCTGTCGGAGGTTTCTTCTTTTAAAGGCAGTTTTTCTTCCCCACTGTTGCCAAGTGCTTGCTCAAGGGGGATTTGTTGGGTTTTTCTTTATAATAATAATAATAATAGTAAGGTCTGTCTAGAACTTACTTTCTTATCATTGAATTGAATGTCATGATCTGGTCTCCTCCCTTTCTGTGATCCAAATTTTACATGCAGCTTAAATGAATCTGAGAGCTGAACTTGGGTCTGCTGTTCCTTTATATCTGCTGTGCAGGGTTCATGACCAGAGAAGAACGGAAGAAGTTTGAGGGCCTCCACTCTCCTTATAACAAATACTGGATCCCCTGCGTCTGGTTCACCAACCTGGCGGCTGTGGCGCGCTGTGAGGGCAGGATCAAAGACGATCACACACTCAAACTACTGCTGGAGGTTCACCATTATACACACACACACACACACACACACATACACACACACTAGAGGAACTACAGTGGAGGTTCCAACGTAGATTGGTTTTGACAGTTGATCAGTTTGAGATCAGTATTCACAGACATAACGGCAAACGTTGAGATAGGATTAATGCTGTATAGTGACCTCAGAAAGTCACTGTGTTTCTTTGTTAACAGGAGCTGAATGAGTTTAGAGGGAAGTGCAGCATGTTGTTTCATTACGACATGATCAGTGTTCCCCTGGTATACACTCAGGTAGGTGCTCTGTGCTTAGGAAGCTGCATGACTTAAGGAAGTAAGTCATGCAACGTGCTTACTACTTTGCTGCATATGTATGCACTTTATTTGATCCTAGTTTTCATGCAATACACTCAGAATGTTTCATCTTTTTTTTCTTGAGGCTGTTGTATTTTGTTTCTTACTTTGTTAATTTTCTATATATAAAAGAGATGTTGGATGTTTTGTGCATCTCTTCTATTGTTTATATGCTTTTGACTTTTTTTCAACAAACCTCAGCCTTTCTCATTGCAGACATTTTGAATTGTTACAGCAGAGAAAACACAGGTGCTACTAACAACGAATAGAATGCAGCTCTAATTAAGGTCATTAGTGGCACCTGTATTTAGCAGGACAGAATGTGAAAAAGGCCTGTTAGTTAAACATGAAAAATGAATAAGATAATATTGTCATCAAAACACAAGCATGACATGTAACAGTTGTCCCTCAGGTGGTGACTTTGGCAGTGTACAGTTTTTTCCTGGTGTGTCTAATTGGTCGTCAGTTCCTGGATCCCAGTCAAGGATACCCAGGCCATGACCTCGACCTCTACGTGCCTATCTTCACCCTGCTGCAGTTCTTCTTTTATGCTGGGTGGCTCAAGGTCATACATCTTGCATATGTTCATATTTAACACATTATAAAAAAGATAAAACAACACTGACAGCTTCAAGAGAACATTAAGGTTTCTGGATTTGTATTGTTGGACTGTGAGCATCAGGCCTTTTTTCTCTTTTTGCAACACTTAAGCATATTGTTTTCCCATTTTGTCCTGAAGGTGGCAGAGCAGCTGATCAACCCTTTTGGAGAAGATGATGATGATTTTGAGACCAACTGGCTGATAGACAGAAACTTCCAGGTTAATGATTTTAGTTCTATTTACTGTGTTACACTATAGACTGTATACAAAAGACGAATGACGTATCACCACTTCCCTTCACTATGCAAAAGTGAAGCCAAAATATCATGAATGCTCTGGCTGCCATCTTGGCAAAAGAGATTGTGAAGTTGATGTCCCGCTGTGTTGAATTTTGGGTAAATGAGCCATGTTTACAGCATCATGCTCATTATACATCATAGAGATAAACTCTACATACATCTATAGGTTAATTTAATGAATAAGTACTATCCCATACAGCTACATAGAGTATTGGATGCTTCAACTACGTCCAAACATCCATGTTAGTGTTCAAGTTTGAGCACAGACAGGACAGAAATTGATTCATCTGCAGTGTTTGTGTTATCTGCCAACAGCTGCTAACTAGTGTTAGCTCCTGAACCGAGAGCTGCAGAGTCATTTTTCAGAGCAGGATCTCTATGAGTTAGCTACAGTCAGCTAAAGTTATCTATCCTGAATTACCACAGTCAGTAAAGTGAGATCTAAATGATTTAAGCTACTTTTTAGCCAAGTAAAACAAGAATGTATGCAGGTAAATATGGCACCCCCATCCCAACATTCAACATGGCATGATGTACCTTCACATTTTCTATTTGTAGCCAGATCTTGTGCAGTAGTGACCAGAAGTTGAGTGACCTCTCAGACTGCCAATCAAAGCTGTCAAATCACCCAAAGTACACCCCTTTTTATATCACCAGATTGCTCATTAAAACCAACCTTAGCAGAAAAATGACCACTGGTACACATCAGTGTGATAAACCTCTGGAAAAATGTATCTGATTTGTACTTTAAGATTTTGGTTTGGCTCATGTCCCATCCACTAATGTGGAGGGGGCGGGGTTTATGACCTATAGGACAACCAGCCACCAAAGGGCGATCAACCTGTGGTGGCTTCACGTCTGCACGTTGACATGTCATTCATCATTTATACAATGTGTTACACCTTACTTTATAAGGATTCAGTTATACTATACGCAGTTTCTTTATCTTTATCCAAAAATACTTTGATAAAGCATTTTGTCTAGCACTTTGCTGACTTACATGTAAAATTGGAGGCAATATTACTGTTTAATCTTGGTTTCCCGTTTTAGTTTTACTGTAGTACCTTTATTTAAGTACAGTATTACTGCTGTAATGGTGCTTGTCCTATAATGTCTACTT